GTACTTTTCCAGCATCTAATCTCTGGGTGGTGGAGAAAACCAAAGGAGCGGGATGTGTAGCAACATGTAGTGGACCAGTAATGCCAAGCAGTTAATTCAGTCTGCGACTCCGTTTTAGGGCAAAGTAATTGGCAAGGTACCATTTTAGTAAAGCCATCAGGCAAGAAATACCACGGTGCAGGCCAAGGGACAGGAAGCTTCTTGAAGGGGGGGAAAAATGAGAGTTTAAGTGTAGATATGATATTTATGCGAGACTGAATGTCTAGCCTTGGAAGAGTTATTTTTCGTACAGTAACTTATGTGATGTATTGCATTTTGTAGTTACAGCCTCGATATTTTCCATTAAAACATAGAATGGCCAATTTACTTGTGTTTTCGGCTGGGGAGATGCGTATGGTTAAAGGAATCTGTTGAGTGGGACACTTCCAGTTTGCTGTGTAGCCTACTTGATCCGTGCACACGCGAAGGGGGCAGTGTGGCTTACTGTGTTTGCTTTGTGGCTAATGAACTTGGAGGGGAATGTGAAACCTTAAATAGAAACACTGGACCCTGGGCCTGCTAGCCTTGGTATTGATTTTTTTTTTTTTGAGTTGTTTCCATCTTCTCTAGTGAGCTAAAGAGTCATCTCCTCTGCCTTTTAATTCAGAAGATCTTAGAAAACTGACCCATTTCAGGATCTTTGCAGGTAGGAGGGGGGCAGTTTCATATCCGTAAAATCTCTCCTTATTGCAGGATGTTTTGCTTCCAGTTACTTGTTCTGTTACCGCTGCTGGCTCAAGCTGCAGACACCAAGGTGGGCAAGGTAAGAGTGCATTTCAGGGCTGAGAAAACAAGCTACACGCCCAAGCTTCATGCATACTCATGAAGTGCTAGCAGTGTTTAGAGGGATCAAAGGACAATGTATTGAGAAAAAAAATCTCTTGGCCCACGCACAGAAGTGTTTATTAGTTGTGGGATCTCTTAGCATTCAATTAAAATACTACAGTAAGGCTATATCTTAGATYGATAGATATTTTAGAGCCTTTGCCAAAGCAGATTTCTACTAGAAGCTAAAAATATCCKCAACGGGATGAAGGTTGGGTGCCTGTGTTCCTGCCTCCTACTCCGTGCTGTATTCWTCCTTCCTCTGCTGCTCTCTGAATTGGTGTTTGCCACACAGGCTGGGAGGGGACTGCTGTTCATTTGTGTGGAACTAGGTTCTTASATGTCTCAGGACTGTCAGGTGTGTTAGCCTCCAGGAACCAGCTGCTCTCTTCATTAATACTCAATTAAATCCAGCAGCCCTTTATTCATTASAGGGAAACCAGTGAGCATGTGACCATCTCGGTGGGTAGCTTAATTCTTGCAGTGTGTTTTAAACTCCCAAACGGCCACTGCTCCAGCCCCTTCCATGTTGYGGGCAAATGCATGGATCTCGGTCAGTTCAGATCTGCAGTGGTACCTGATTTGAATCCTTTTAAGAACCTGGTTGTTAGTCAAATCCAGCYTCTTGTTGAAGAAGGGCGTTGAGCCACCCATGCTGTTCTAAGCAAGCAAACTTTTAAGACTTGATTACAGAACAGTCTCCTGGGAAAAGGCTTGGGCTTTCTTCCACCTCCTGTACTTGTTCCCACTGTTCCAGCCTCCTCTTGTTCCTCTAKGTTCAGAATCCTAATGCTTGCATAATGTTACGGTTTATAGTCCAGTCAATGATAAGAGAATGGCTCTGATCAGAAGGCAGCGTTCCCAACATCCCGGTTTCCCGAGCTGCGTGTCAAGCACTTGCAGTCCGTGTCTGTTTGCTCTTGGCAGCCTCTGTCTCTGCAGCACTGTGGCATTTTCAGTCACAGTCCAGACCTCCGGTGTGGCYGATTTCCCCCTGGCTAAGGCCCTGACAAAAATTGTCTCTGTTTTTCCTCTGAAAACAACTCTTGCCTTTATCAAGTATAACATCCCATAGGCTGAAGTGATGCAACTGGGTTTGCATTTGCCCACAGGAAAAACAGCAGCCCTCGGCTGGCGCTCGGCCGTGAGGTGATGTGAGCCCTGGGCCCGGGTGAGCTGGYACCAGGAAACCAGTGGTGACTAGTGGCCACTGATAAGATGCAGCCAACTACTATCACCTAATAAGCTCATTTTTGTGTATTGGAGGGGAATTGTTTACAGTGAATTGCCTGGAAATGAGGCTTGGCCGGGAGGCAGCAGAGCTTGCGCGGACTGTCCCTCTGCCAACGGAGGAAGTGGAAAGACGCTGCGGGGTCTGTGTCCTCCAAAGTCGGATTTCTGCAACAGTCATATTTCCATGTCCAAATTTCAATCCTTTTTTTTAATAGAAGTGATTAGAACTGACAGCAGCTTATCTGATTTTTAGCCCCTGTTTCTCTAAGTCCCACAGATTGTTGCTCATCTTAATTCATCTTTAATTGGCTAAATAGCTGATGAAAAGTCARAAGTTCTTTGCTGTGCGTACGTGAGCGCAGAGCTTCCAGTCTGGTCTGCAGCTTTTATCTTGCTCTGTTTTGAATTGCTTCTGGTTTTGGTTTCTTGGCAAACTGGAACCACTAAATCCTCAYAAATTTGTTGTGCTGCCAAGAACATGAGCAACTCGGCTGCTGGTCCACTGTCAAATCCTGCCTTGTTTCTGTGGAGTCATGCAGTGGGAAACGGGTATCCTCATTTAGTTGATCCGATCAACTTATGCACTTGGCTCTGCTGCCTGTTACAGAGCTTCTGTCCTCTCTTGCTCATACTCCACTCTGTATGATTCACTTGCTTTTCTTGATCCTTGTTTTATTTTTTTTCACCTAAATCATCATTCTTTTTGTGGGTCTGTATGCATTTGGTACTCATGATTCTATCCCTWGTGCTCACAGAGTGCTTTATGAGCAGCAAAGCCTCATTTTAACTGTAGATTTGTATCCAAGGGTAGCATCTACATGTAGGGCTCAAATTATAGGCAGTATAAATTAGACACTCCCTTTCCCCCCTCAAAAATAAGTTAATGCCAGATGTATTTCACTGAACACCTTCTTTTCTGTGTACCCCCAGTGCAGTTGAATGTGTGGGGCTGCCTGGAGTCGCTTCTGTGCTTAACCTGCTTTCTGTGCCCAGCAGGAAGTGTGGGAGAGCAAGGGGGTTGATTTTTAGATCTCTCCATGCTAATGCCGATCTAATTTCCAGAGTTACTTCATCTGAATCCCCCGAGGCATAAGGGTGTTTCTGCGTGTGATCAGGCAGATACCGGCTTGCTCGAGCAGAGGCTGGCATGCCCTCTAGCGTGTTATTTATGGCCAGAAAAACAGCTAGTTTCAAGAAGCGCAGCTTCCTCCCAATCTTTTGGAAGGCTTTTCTAAGACCTACCAGACATGGTCTTTAGCTGCCGGTGCAGAATATGTAATTTCCTTTTGTTAATCAGTTTTACTGCCAAAATCGCCTACTTAACTCTGCTGCCAAGAGCTGTGGTATCTCTAACCATCGTTTGAAACTGCTCAAACAGCTTTGCCTCATTTCTTACCAAACTTGGGAAGCTACCRTTGCCTCTTTCTCCTGGAGCAGCTCAGCATAAGGTCTCTTTTCCCCGAGCACAGTGGCTGCCCAGGAAGGTAGCAGAGTGCCTTGGAAATGAGCCTAAATCAGCACCTCACAGAGGAGAGTCCTGTGCTTGCAGCAGGATTTGTTGCTGGTTCCACCTCTTCATCCTTTCAGGCAGCTTAAAAGAATAGCAGAGGGACATTAAAATGGAACAAGGAAGTCTCTGCATTACACAGAGAAGCTGGTTTAGGGGAATGTGTCAGAACAGGGAGAAAATCTCATGGATCTCACAGCTCAGACCTCTTTTCTAGCTTTCTCCYTGCCTGCTAGTGAGAAGTGAAACACTTCTCCCCCATGGCCTGTTTTATGTGGCCTGGATCATCTGCAAATGCACTTGTGYCATTGTGTTCTGCCAGGTGCAAAAAAGTTTTGGGCAGGTAATGAATGAGCTCAGAGCACCTGTGTTCTGCAGCCCAAGCAGGTGCCTCCTTGAGAAGCAGTTGCCATGTGTTCTGCAACAGCACCTCTTAGCGGGCTGCTGATAGAAACCTCAGAGGTGACAGTGTGGACAAAGTCCTGCTCGCAATGAGCGTGGGTCCACATGGCCTGCTGGCCATAGCAGTGTGTGGGAGCAGGAGGCTGTTGTGCCARGGTCACCACTTCTGGTGGCATTAGCTACCAACTCCATCGTGTTTACCACAGGAGTKGGATACCTGCTCCCTGGAAAGATCTGAGCATCCCGTCTCCAATGACAGAAGCATTGGCAGTCCCTGGCAGATCCCAGGACAAGACTGGAAGGCAATGATGCTGTCATTAAGCTTCGTACTACATGCAGATGGCAAGTCAAGGACGGGGGAGGCCACCTCTTACTGCCAGCCCAGCCTCCTGTGTCTGGCATCAGTCACAACCCTTTCACTTGTGTGAGGCGACAGACCCTCCAAGTATCTGTGCAAGGAGAGACAGGYGCAGGTTCTTCTCTCACTTGCTATTTAGTCTGGAAATTCTTGGGAGGAAGGGCTGTATTTGAGTCTACATGCAAAGCACTTAACAATGACAAGGACTTTGTTATGTTACAAGGGTAAGCCCCAACGTAAGCAGCTTTATAGCCTCRTTTTCTTCCTTCCCACTTCCAGCACCTGTACAACTGGAAAAACTTTCCATTTCCCATGGCATCTCCTTTATTTTTGCCACTACAAAAGGGAATGCTGTCCCAGAAATGTCTCCAAGGCATTTTGTAACAAAACTGGCTTCAACCATCTTTTGAAGTGTTTTACTGACCTGCTGTGTTTCTTTTTCTTAAAAAGCAGTCACAACCTTGGGGCCAGGCGCAGTTATAATTTTCATCCTGACAGATGAGAGACTTGTCTGACATTTCTGTGWGAACAGCTGGGAGGCTGATAGAGCTGCCTTAGCAGGGACCTTCTCTCCAAGCTACAGCACTCAGAAGGCAAGTGGATTTCTGTTTGTATAGCTGATTTATTTAAAAAAAAAAAAAAAAAGCCACTTGGACTACACTCCATAAGACATAGCTCATATACAGTATTACTGTGAGTTAGCAACAGGCAAGTTCACCTGCTTAGATGAGCCCCAGCTGAACTTTTGGCTAGGAACCCATCGAATACTCAGTACTACCAGCACTATGACTTTTCTGTGTGAAGATGGTGACGTTCTGCATCATCATTCATAATATACAAAAGAGAAGTCCCAAAATCCTGCTCTCTTTGGGTCCTTTTTCAGACGTGCCAAGCTGCGGTGATTGATGTATTTCACAAACTTCATCGTTTCTTTGTCTCTATAAACCAAGGCCAAGCAGTTGTTCTCTGGATTCACAGTCAACAGCTAGAAGACACAGTAATGAAGGTAAGAAATTAGTTTCCCAAAAAGCCTTTGATACCTTTCCTAGGAGAAAAGGGACCGAACAGACTTTCAAAAGCTAATTGGAATAAAAGTCTTATATCAGAAAATGAGCAGTGACACCATTTTCTTATTAATACCCCTTACCCCGCAACATTAAGCTGCAAGTTTTAAGTTTTGCAATAAACAGCTGAATCCAGAGCTACATCTAAAACCTGCAGTTTGGGCAGGAAGCTTTGGATTAGGCTGAGGGCTCTGGTGCAGTAATTGGCATCTTTGMGATGGTTAACATAAAAGAAAAAAAGCATCATGTCTCCCCTACCCAACAACTGATTTTATATAGCTTACAACTTGGAACTCAGCTCCTTACCTCTTCATCTTCACCTTTAGCAATGTAGGATGTAAAGCCACCATATTCTGGATCCCAGTCTTAAAATAAAAGAGAAAGGTTTTTAGAAAATTCAGCACTGTCCAGACTGCCCTCCYGGAGATGCAGTATTTCTGGCCAACTCTCTACAAGTGCTGGCTGCAGGACTACTAATATTTAACTCCTGCCAGGCTTCTATTTTTTTTTCTTCCATCCAGAAGCAATTTGAACTAAATATCCAGGATTTGTCATTTACCACAAATWGGCCATTTAGGACCACGTGGCTTCCCATTCGCCATATGCAGAGCAGCTTTGCTTTAGTGGATGTGTAATAGCTTTTGCTAACTATGATATGAGGTGTGTTCCAGGTGGTTTAAGCCATGCATCCTGCTTCCCACTGGTCCAGCAGTGCTTTTTTGTTTTCCACTGTACAAACCTACCATCAACCTAAAATGCCTGGACGTGCCTAAAGTCACTATTGAATAGCCTGGGCTTTTTGAATCGGAAGCAGTGATAATTCTGAAGAGAAATGAGGCAAAACAGAGCATTCCTTGAGCCACTGTGTAGTGAGGAGGAGAAACCTCTTGGAGACTGGCACCTTCCCTCTGCCCCAAGAAGACCTGCAATGTATCACGTCCTGGCTCGAGCAGGGAAAGTAATGAGGAAGCAGCATCGAAGCTGCAGGAAACTATGGACACCAGGGGCCAAATCACAAATCTTTTTCTGGAACATGTGGTACTTAGGTAAAAGAGAGGGCTTASGTAAAATCTAACGAGCCTTTCTATAGAGCAAAAGCAGGGACACTTCGGCTATTTCAGCACTGTGGAGAACTCRAAAATTGTTCTGTAAAGCAGACCTTGTTGAGGAGTGTGCAACCCCTTTCTCTTTAGCCCACTTACCTTCACACCCACAGAAAAAGAGCAGGTCCAGAGCAAATTCTGTTGTTTGGGTGTCGTGGGCTAGAGTATAGTGCCCATGGGTCCAGCGTCTCAGCTCCCCTGCGCACACCGGGGCACCTGAGCCTATGAGGGACAACAAACATCTCAACAGCCAGGGAAAACAATGAAGTAGCCCTGCAGGTGACTCCTGCCAGGCTCAGGGCAGCAGGTGTAAGTTCCTGTACTGTTTCTTCACAGAAAGATGTGTTTGCTGGAGCCAGCAACGTGTGAAGGGAAGAAGTAAAACCCCAGACAGATCCTTTGTTAGCGTTTCTAGAGGTGACTCTGTCCTTTGCGTGACGGATGTGAGGGGAGCTGAGGTCTGGTCTTTGAGAGGTCCAAGCTATGATGGGCCTTGGATTAAGCCAGTTCATCCTGTGTTCCCCCGCCAAATTGGTAGCAGATCCTCATGAGGATTTATGGCAGACCTCTGAACTTCAAAAGCCAGGAAACTTAGTGGCTCTGAAAGAACACTGAAACTGCCAGAGGCTTCCAGAGAAGGGTATGGCTCTCAGCTTCTATTAGGTAAGTAATAAAAGTAATTCTTCAAATTAGGGAATTTAGAGGTACATGAGGCTTTAGGGAAACAGTTCTTTCCATATGGGTACAGCATTTTTCAGTTTAGGCAGTGCCAAACTATGGCCTCATATGCAGGTCAGTAGCAGCCCTTCGAAACAGTTAGAACATGAAAGATTTGGTGAAAATCGTACAAAGGGAAGATGGCAAATGGAAGCAGCAAAACAACTGGCAGTGCAAATCAGAAAAACAAAGCCTTTGTCAYAGGCAAGAATCACAGGTGGGATTTTCAGTACTGCGCTGTTCTTAATTATCCTTTCTTCCAGTGTCCACTGAGTGGGAGATGAGCATTTTCAAGAATTCTACCCTTAAACTCCAAAAAACTGCATTAAATACCACTGTATGAATCCAAAATTAATCTGTCGTAGTGATATGTCACTGCTGATGCCTACGTGATTATTTATTTAGGGTGTCAGTGTTTTCCAAAGGGCTAGGGTTAAACCCTAGTTTTAGGCCTCAGTTTGCTAATTCTAAAATCATTTCCTGATCTGCTAACTTTATTCTATTTGCTTTGGTCTTTCATAGGAGAATTGTCATTTATGTGACACAGGAGCATGTGGACGTAGAAACCACATAACCACTGACAAAACATTATTGGGTAACTAGATTAAGAAGAAAAAGCATCAACTCATCTAGAAGTCCCACACCTCCAATCCTGCCCTTATATGAGACTTCAGGTCGACAAGGTATGTCCCAAATGCTCCTACAACATGATATATTTGATTAGGCATTAGTCTAGTCAGTCGCTTAGTCATTAATCACTTTTGGGGGGTGACTGCTGTGYCTTGAATCTCATGTTGGTGCTGGTTCCTCTACAAGATAGCTGCAGCATAAGGTAAAAAGCTAGTTCCAGGAAAAGTTGCTGTCAGTTCTACTGCTGTACTCCTGTAAAGGATGCTGGCATCCTTTAATGCCTGGATTTTGCTCACATCCTTGCAACGCAGCTGCTGCCCTACCTACCGGTCTGCGTCTCGCCCTCCTGCGTGTCAGGGATGTTGTCGGGCTGCTCTTGGTGATGGGCGCTGCTGCCAGCCTGCTGTCCAGCCTCTTCCTGCTGCGGTTTGGGAGCGCTGKGTCCAGCAGTGTCTGCGGCTTGTCCTTCCCCTGCATCTTCATCCTCATCAGAGGGAGCCAGGAAGTGCAGCTTTAGGCCRGTGAAGTTAGAAAGCAGCAGAAACAAGGCCTCAGAGCGTAACAACTGCAGGAAGTTCTTCAGGGTGTCAGGCAGACTGTCTTCCTCTGCAGTCTCATACAATCTGAAAGACAGCTGAGGAATCAGCAGCAGAGGGCTAACAAGGACATTCCCGTGGGGACAGTATCAGCCAGTGCAGCCTCGTGGCACTTCCTGCTTGGCCTGATCAACAGGAGTGAGATGCTGTCACTCAGCATCCTTACCTCTTATTGGGGGGCCCTCGGCTACTCCACTGGATTTCATCTTTCTCCAGAGCTTCGCACAATAGTTGGAATTTCTCTTTCTGGGACAGAGAAACATATAGGGCAGAAGCCTTAACAGTTAGCTCCCAGGTCCTCCCAGGTGTGTTGGGAGCAGGTGCTCCCTAGCTCGGATGAGGCACAGCAGTTCTCTCCTAGCTTGCAGGAGGCTCTTCAGGATTGCTCAGTTGAGGGCCCTCGGCTGAGCATCATGTCTTTCTAATGCCTGTGACTAAAGGCACTTATCAAGTGCTACTTGATTGTCTGCTGTGTGATAATGCTCYTTGTTTCACTGAGGGATGACCCTGACAAGGGAGGATGCTCTGGTCATCTCAGTGCTGGGAAGCAGGAAGTGTTTCCATCTCTCTGGTTTGTATCTTGTAAGAAAGAAGACTGTTGAAGCAAAGTTTGCAAGATGCTTATCTGCCAGGCTGTGTGACACATGGCACATACTAGTCCTGTGACCTGTTCTGACAGGCTGCATCAGATTGAACCACTGGACTTACCTTAAGAAAATCCTTCAGGAGAATTTCTGAGCGCTCCTCAAACTCTTCCTGGATTTGAGCTTGGGACTCCATGTCCAGATAAACCAGATTGATCCACTCATACAAGATTTCTTGCTGGAAAGGAAATAGGTCTGAATGCTGCATTTGCAAATGTAAAAAGGATTCCCCACTTCCTCAACTAACTGGCCAAAGGCCTGTGTTCCTTTCCTAACCCTTCTCTCCCACCCTTTCCTTTCTTTTTTTAAAATTGTGGTAAGAGTCTTTGCTGCCTCTCCTACTGCAGGTATAGAAGTGGACAGAGAATCACAGAATAAGTTGGAAGCTTATTCTGGAGCCGGTCCAACCTGCTGCTCAAAGCAGGCCCAACTTGATCCAGGCTCCGGGTCGCTCAAGGCCTTGTCCTGTTGTTTTGAACATCTTTAAGGATGAAGATCGCACAATTTCTCTGGAATTTCCCACACTGCAATTTATCCCCACTCCTTCTTGTCCTACCACGGTACATCCCCACAAAGAGTTGGCCTTCAGCTTCACTATTCACTCCCATTATGTTGTTGAGACAACAATTTTTAGCCTTCTCTTAAAGCTGAGTAAAACAACGTTCTCAGAGCTAGCCTGTCTTGTGCTACAAAGTGAAAGGTAAAATCCCCAGTGGATTCTCTTTATCAACTACTTCTTAGAGAGTCTGCTTTCAGCCAGTATCTTTTTATCCTGGGTCCCCAAATCATTTATAACATCCAGAAAGGTAACCAGCTACAAATCTGTGGACAGGAAATGGAAAGGAACACGGAACAAGTCGAAGACTGAAGTGTCCCCAGGCATGAATGTATCTCAAGTAAGCATTCCAGGGCCATGGGAATGCAGGTAAGCAGATCTAGCCTTGCTACTCACATCGTAAGGGATGTGTGGACTCCTTGGCAAAGGCGCTTCRATGTACCGGGGAGGTCTCTCTATGGATGGGCCGTGAAACCAGCCGCTCACGGACAAGCGGCACTTCTCCTCAGAGAGAACTTCTGACACCTGCAACAAAGCAGAAGGGCAGGCTACTGTTTGGACTACAAAACACACAAGGACCAGCTGTAACGGGCACCATGCAGACCCGTAACAAGGGACTGACCCRGTCTACAGAGTCTATTTCATCAAATTGTGCGCTCTGATCTAAATTGGGCTAAACTGAGCAATTCACATGTGATGAGTGAGGCACCCCCCTTATGACTGGCTGACAAAACGAAGTTCCACAGGAGTGAGGTTTTAAAAACAACCCAAATGCAGGTCCTTGCCTGGTGGAAGGAGACTGGAGACACTTCAAAGAAAGCCAGCGTGTTCCACGAAGGCACCAATGACTTGACAATTTCCTTTGGCTGAAAATGTTCTGAAGGGGGAAGAAAACGTGTTCTGGTTAAGACCTGACCTAGTGCTCGCCAGCAGCTGCTGTTTCACTCTGACTTTATGACTTTTTACTGTTTAGACACTGGCTGTAAAGGATGGAGCTTAGAGCATGGGACTGATGAGGTATCGGTGGATGTCTCTTGTTGGAAAGGAAAGTTATCTCCTTCACTTGAGCGTTCCCAGCACAGTTACTGGCATTGTTTCTACCCTGTCCCCACTTCTGTCCCCTGCTAAAAGTGGCTTATTTCCCCCCACTCTTTATTAGCTTCTCCTTTTTCTCAGCTGTCATCYATTAGCACAGTCTGCTACAGCCCGTCTCTCTCAAAGACACAAATTCTACCAATGCCTCAGCATCCCCGGACTGAGAAGATCTTCCATGGACACCTGAGGGGCGGCTTGCAAAGGGCATTTCATCTTCTCCACCCGTGGGTCTGAGCAGGGGGCTCTCACCATCTGTGCTATACAAGTCCAGGGTTCCTCCGTCGCTCTCCTCCCACGGCGGCACCAGGTACAGGATGAAGGCAATTCTCCGACCTTCCAGCTCRTCATCGTGGCACAGCAGGACGTCTGCAAATGCACAAGTTTTACTGCATGAGGGTGTTCCCTGTGAAGGTCCACGGGTGTGACTCTGCTTTATTTCAATAATTAGTTATTCCTGCTTTTAGCTCCCTGCAAGGACATACCAGGAAGAAACCTGCCCTCCTTAAGAACTGCATTTTTTATATGCCTGCATCGCCAACCCTGAGAGGTAACTTTATTTAATAATAATTATCATTATTGTTATGCCCCTTGTTAAAGCTCCCTCTCTTGCTGTCGCTGGGGCAGGAGGGAGACATCCCTACACTTAGCAGCTGGTCAAACTCCTGTTCTTAAATGCACGCCTGCCCTTTGAGGAGGTTTGTTGCAGGGCTGCATAGGGGGCAGGAACAGGAAGGCCGGACCAGGAACGGGTTGTGCAAAGAGAGTTAGGAAAAGCGGAATCAGCAGAAGTTAGTTTCAGGTGCAAAAAAAGGTTATTTGTGTGATGTGTGGGACCCTCCTAGGGCCGGGGAAGGGATTCTGCTCTGGCACGGGGGTCTCTGTCCTGCCCCCCCGGGAAGGCGCGGGCAGGGCCGCCCCGCGCGTCGCTCCCGCTCACCCGTGTACTCGTAGCGCGCGCAGGACAGGTCGATGTCCGGCTCCAGCGGGATGCGGGTCACGGCCGCGAGCCACGCGCGCAGCTCCTGGCACAGGGCCCGCCTGGGGCCGGGCCCCGTGAGCGGCACCGCGGCGACACAACTCGGCGCCCCGCGAGCGCCGCGCCCACCTCAGCGCCGCCACGTGCGGCTCCGGCCTCCCGCGCAGCTCCTCGGACTGCGGCGGCCCATGCAAGACAAGGCGGCGCGGGGGTTACGGGGGGCCGGGCCGGGCCCCGCGCGCGGCCCGGCGCGCGCCC